TAGAGACAGGGTCTCACTATGTTGTCCAAGCTGGTCTCGAACACCTGGGCTCAAGCCATCCTTTTCCTTGGCCTGCCAAAGTGTTGGGATTACAGGTGTGAGCCACTGGGCCCCACCAAAAAGTCTTAATTTATAAATCCTGTAGGCCTGGGTCTAGGCAGAAGATGTCACTTACCTAGTAGATTAACAGAAGAGGTGGCTCTGAAAAGGACCCCGTTAGAAACCACAGCAAGGAACTGCAAGAACTGGCAGAGTGGTGTAAACTCAGACCCTTCCGATGGGTCACTGTGACGGGGCTGGAAGGGGAGGGGAGAGATGGCGGCGTGGAAGTGCCACGGTTCATCTCACGGGTTTCCAGAAGGAGAATGGGGAGGAGCAAGATTTGTAGATAGAACAGCTGAGAATTCTCCGCAGCTGAAGACAGATAGGAGACCTAGGTTAAAAGTGTCTTCCCTGTCCTTGTAGGATAAGTGAAAGTAAACCCACACCTTTACACATGGTCCTAACTGCACAGCATCGAGGTTGCTGCCTAAGGAAACAGACCTGCCCAGAAAAAAGGCCTTAGACTCACAGCTAGAACACTGTGACCTGGCCAGGGTAGGGCTGGAAGGCAGAGGGGTAATAATATCCACCCAGCACCCAGGAAAGAAACAGAGTGTGGGGCTCCCTACAGCTGTGCCCAGGCAAGGACACAGGGAGGGCTTATTGTGCAAATGGAAGAAGAAACAGAAGTTAAGCATCACAGTGAGGAAAAAGACTTTTTTTTTTTTTTTTTTTTTTTGAGATGAGGTCTTGCTCTGTCGCCAGGCTGGAGCACAGTGGTGCAGTCTCGGCTCACCGCAACCTCTGCCTCCCGGTTCAAGCGATTCTTCTGCCTCAGCCTCCCAAGTAGCTGGCCAAACGCCTGGCTAATTTTTGTATTTTTAGTAGAGGTGGGGTTTCACCATGTTGGCCAGGATGGTCTCGATCTCTTGATCTTGTGATCCACCCGCCTCGGCCTCCCAAAGTGCTGGGATTACAGGCGTGAGCCACCGCGCCCAGCCAGAAAAAGACTGTTTTATCACAGTAAAAGAAATCATTCACCAGGCTGGGCGCAGTGGCTCGTGCCTGTAATCCCAGCACTTTGGGAGGCCGAGGCGGGTGGATCTCCTAAGGTCAGGAGACTGAGACCAGCCTGGCCAACACAGCAAAACCCTGTCTCTACTAAAAAAAACAAATAAATAAAATAAAATAAAAATTTGCTGGGTGTGATGGCGGGTGCCTGTAATCCCAGCTACTCAGAAGGCTGAGGCAGGAGAATCACTTGAACCTGGGAGGTGGAGGTTGCAGTGAGTCGAGATGGTACCACTGTACTCCAGCCTCGGTGACAGAGTGAGACTCTCTCAAAGAAGAAAAAAACCTAAAAATAAATAAATAAATGGAAGGATTCACCCACAAGATATAGCAACTAATGAGCTTGAATGTACCTAACACCGAATTATGTAAAGAAAAAAATGTAAAACAAAAACTAGCAGATTTTTAAGGAGAAATTGATGAACACACCATCAAAGAGGGGTATTTTAACACAGCTCTGTTAAACTTTTTCAAGGCAAAAATGAATAAATACTAAAAATTAGGGCCAAGCATGGTGACTTATGCCTGTAATCCCACCATTTTGGGAGGCCAGGGCAGGAAGATCACATTAGTTCAAGAGTTCAAGACCAGCCTGAGCAACAAAGTAAAACCTCGTCTCCCTTTTTTTTTTTTTTTTTTTTTGAGATGGAGTCTCACTGTGTTGCCCAGGCTGGAGTGCAATGGCACAATCTTGGCTTACTGCAACCTCTGCCTCTCGGGTTCAAATGATTCTCCTGCCTCAGCCTCCTGAGTAGCTGAGCTTACAGGCACCTGCTATCACACGCTGCTAATTTTTGTATTTTAGGTAGAGATGGGGTTTCACCAGGTTGGCCAGGCTGGTCATGAACTCTTGACCTCACTCAGGTGATCCACCTGCCTCAACCTCCCACAATGCTGGGATTACAGGCCTGAGCCACCATGCCCGGCCATGAAACCATCTCTGAGAGAAATTTAAAAATTAGTTGTGTATGGTCCCAGCTACTCAGGAGGCTGAGGAGGGTGGGCAGGAGAATTGCTTGAGCTCAGGAGGTTGAGGCTGCAATGAGCTGTGATTGCACCACTGCACTCTAGCCTGTCTTAAAAAGAAGAGAACCCTGAAAATTGGAGAAGTGAAATGAACAAGCCAAGCCAGATCTAATAGATAGAATCTTCCCTACAAATAGCTGAGTTGACATGGAAGGGTTATAAGAGTTGGCCTTCTACCAGGACAAAGGAAGTCTCAGGAAATTTCCAAACTTCAGTCTCAAATAAGCCATATATTTTTTTTATTATCATACAATTAAACTTCAAATCAACAGTAGAAACGAAGTTGAAGAATGTTTTAAACTTTCAATTCACTGCGGAGTAGCTCATGCATTAAACATGTAACAAGAATAGAAACCACAAAGTACTCAGAACCGAACAAAAATGAGAATGTCCTGTCAAGCCTTATGCAATCCAGCTACACAGTGAAGTCTAGATTTAGGCAAATTTGTTGTACAACAACAAAGGGAATGATAAAAATAAGCCCAAAGCCATCGGAAGAATGGGAATAAGAGAACTCAGTCCCCAGGAGTTCAAGAGATGGCTGAGGCGCTCCTGGCCTTGGGTGCCTTCCCCTTTCCCTGCCCCCTCCCTTCCCTCGCAGCCCCAGATCTCTGTTGCCAGGAGGCAGAGGGCTCCGAAATCAGCTTACTCCTGGTGACAGCTACACATAACTTCCCCATCCTAGAATGGGAAATGAGGTAGAAACTGAAGAAATAAAACAGATGAATGAAATGCAAACCTGCTTTGAAAAGTGACGTTAGGGCCGGGTGCACTGGCTCACACCTGTAATCCCAGCACTTTGGGAGGCTGAGGCAGCTGGAACACCTGAGGTTGGGAGTTTGAGAACAGCCTGACCAACGTGGAGAAACCTGGTCCCTACTAAAAATACAAAATTAGCCGCATGTGGTGGATACTGTAATCCCAGCTACTTGGGAAGCTAAGGCAGGAGAATCACTTGAAGCCAGGAGTTGGAGGTTTCGGTGAGCCGAAATTGTGCCATCGCACTTTAGCCTGGGCAACGAGAGCGAAACTCTGTCTCAAAAAAAAAAAAAAAAGAGAGAGAAAGAAAAAAAAAATAGCTGGGTATGCTGGTAAGTACCTGTAATCCCAGCTACTTGGGAGGCTGAGGCAGGAGAATTGCTTGAACCTGAGAGGCAGAGGTTGCAGTGAGCTGAGATTGCACCCCTACACTCTAGCCTGGTCAACAAAGCAAGATTCCATCTTAAAAAATAAATAGATATCAGGAGCAAAAAAGAAACTACAACTGCAGAAAAGGTATGCATTATTTAAATCATAATGGAGTATCATTAACTTTATGCCAAAAAATTTGGAAACTTATAAAAAAATGTTAACAGTTGTTGGTAGAACTATATGAATTACCAAAATTAGCTCAAGAGGATAGTTCAGTAATCACTGTGGGGTTTTTTGTGTTTGTTTTTTGTTTCTTTGTTTGTTTTGAGATGGATTCTTGCGCTGTTGCCAGGCTGGAGTGCAGTGGTGCAGTCTCGGCTCACTGCAACCCCCGCTTCCCGGGTTCAAGTTATTCCCTGCCTTAGCCTCCCATGTAGCTGGGATTACAGGCACGAGTCACTATGCCCAGCTTTTTGTATTTTAGTAGAGATGTGGTTTCACCATGTTGGCCAGGCTAGTCTCGATCTGCTGACTTGGTGATCTGCCCACCTTGGCCTCCCAAAGTGCTGGGATTACAGGCGTGAGCCACTACCCCTGGCCAAGGATAGTTCAATAATAATTGTTAAAAGCTTCTCACCTCAAAAGGCATCAGGCACAGAGAGTTTTACAGGCAAGTTTTTTTGTTGTTGTTTGTTTTTGTGACGGAGTCTCTGTCACATGTCAGGCTGGAGTGCAGTGGTGCGATCTCAGCTCACTGCAACCTCTGCTTCCTGAGTTCAAGTGATTCTCCTGCCGTAGCTTTCTGAGTAGCTGGGACTACAGGTGCATGCCACCACACACCCAGCTAATTTTTGTATTTTAGTAGAGATGGGGTTTCACCATGTTGGCCAGGATGGTCTCCATCTCCTGACCTCCTGATCTGCCTGCCTCAGCCTCCCAAAGTGCTGGGATTACAGGTGTGAGCCACCATACCCAGCCAAGGCAAGTTTTACCAAACCTTCAAGAATAGGTAGAGTGTGGCAGAGAATGGGAAATGGGGGGAAATGACTTCACTTATTAACTCACATTATGAGGTTAGCCTGATAACACCAGGTTTGTCGAGAATGTGGTTAAAGTGCCAGGCCTTACAGCCTGGGCTTGAATCCAGCCCGTGCATGTCCTGGCCGCTTGACTGTGAGCTTTCACTGAGCCTCCCTTTGTCATGTTGAGAAAGATATGGGAGCATTAACTGAGTTAGCACCTGAAAGCACTTGGCCCAGTCCCACCTCAGCCTCCCGAGTAGCTGGGATTACAGGCATGAGCCACCACGCCTGGCTAGTTTTGTATTTTCAGTAGAGACGGGTTTCTCCATGTTGGTCAGGCTGGTCTCAAACTCCCAACCTCAGGTAATCTACCTGCCTCAGCCCCCCAAAGTGCTGGGATTACAGGCCTGAGCCACTGTGTCCAGCCATATGTCAGTATTTCTATACAGTAATGAAAATTAGTAAACTGTATCTATCAAATGGATACATCTCAACATTGTAATATTGAGCAAAAGAACAAGTAGCAAAATATGTAAATGCGATACATGTCTACAGTTTTAAGACTTTAAAAGCAATAAATTATAGTACTAGTGGATACTTGAATATGTAGCAAGGACATTTTAAGTGTGTGTAGAAAGAATAAAGTCTATTTGAGATTGCACCAGGAGAAGGAAGGCGGGGGACATGGTCTAGAAGAGATCCAGAGCAGACAACCATTTCCAAATATTTGTTTAAAAATCTAGACCAGGTTTGTGGCTTATGACTGTAATCCTAGTCTTTGGGAGGCTGAGGCAGGAGGATCACTAAAGGCTGAGAGTTCACAACCATTCTGGGCAACATAGCAAGACCCTGACCCTACAGAAAATAAAATATAAACTTAGCTAAGTGTGGTGGCACGTGCCTGTCGTCCCAGCTACTTGGGAGGCTGAGGTGAGAGGACAGCCTGAGGAGTTTGAGGCTGCAGTGAGCTGTGGTTGCAGCACTGTGCTCCAGCCTGGGCGGCAGAGCGAGACCCTGCCTCTAAATCACAAAAATATATTTTTAAAAAAAGCTTACAAGGAAGGGAGCACACTGGAGATTCTTTTTTGTATGTATATTTGGAATATTTGTACAACTAAAAAAAAAAATCATCAGGGACCCTGCTAAATGCTGGGCCGGGCTTGTGGGTGGGAATTTGCTGCTGTGGTGGCTGTGCTTGATTCTTGGCTGGCTTTTTTTTTTTTTTTTTTTTTTTTTTTTGAGACCG